TTTTTTTTTGTCTTGGAGATCCAGGCTGAGCCACGAGTTGAAAGCCGGGAATGCTTGTATTTTTTTCACGAGTCGGTGACCCAGCGGTTCAGGTTTTGTCATTGAGATTTTAAATTTATATAAAATTAATATTAAGAATAAAATAATTATAGTTGATTTTGATGTAAAAGTATAATAAAGATGGTGTGAAGTGATAGTTAGTTAAAATTATGTGAGAGGATAACCAGTGAATTAAAGTTGATGTGATTTGTAAGAATAATAATTTGTATTATCTATTTATATTGATAATATTGAGGATAGTGAGATTGAGTTAAAGTTGAGTAATATTTGGAGAATGAAATGAGTATGAATTGAAATAATTTGTGAACAAATACACCCTAGATGGATGTAGATTTTAAAAGCGGTGTGATATGTAAAGTAATAAAACCATGACATATGTGACCATATAAGAGATTATGTCATTTTATACTTTATTGTTGCATGATAAGAAGAAATTAGGGTGTTCGATCGGTCTGAAATCACCAAAAGAACTAGCCGAAAGTATAATTTACTAAATCTTAATCAGATTGACCTAGTGTTCCAAGTCAAAGTTAAAATCCAACCGAAATAGTTGTTCGATTCAATTGGTTAATCAAATTAATCGGATTATATTATAAACAGAAATATATAAGTTTGATTTAATATATATATATAATATATATATATATAGTTGGGTTCAAGTGAGAAATATGTATAGTAAAATAAATGAGAATAAATTTTAGCCATCATATCGGAAGATCCAATGGTTACAAAAGTCAGCAATTATATGTTCATTAAGGGTCTATTAAATATTTCATTATTCACCATGTGACCCATACCAAATACTCATTCACACACATCAACATCAACATCAATATACCCAGTATATTCCCAACTGGTTGGGGTCTGATGGGTCAGTTGTACGCAGACCTTACCCTTGTAATTATACAAGGAGGCTGTTTCCATAGCGACCCAAGGTGCATTGCGTCGTTTGATATATTTTTTTCTATAAACTTCACTAATAGAAGAAGCATTAGAATCTAATTGAGGCATTTTGATTTAGTCCATTATTAGCACTATGCCAAGAGAATTGTCAACAATGACTCATTCACACACATCCAATAAATTAATGCTATGTGGCCCACTACCATCACACCACACCACCCCATCTCATCTCTCTCTCTCTCTCTCTC